ACACACACACACACACACACACACACACACANACTATATATATATATATATATATATATATATATATATATATATCTTAATTATATGGATATATATCTCTTGATAAGGTTAAATGTCAATAGGTATCTCAAGATTAGTTAGTAATTATCAATAGCTACTGGTATCTATCCAGCATTGTTATTTTCCGTATATTTATACGTGTCTTGTATATTCTTGATTAATAAATAAAAAGAGATATCTCTGCAGTATTCTGAGTTTTTAATATAGTATCGGAGCTCTAGACTATTCAACCCAAGATTTGGGCTCACCGACCTCAGATCTTAGGTCGGCGAAGTCGCGAAATTTTATGAGGCTATGTTTCCGAAAGGCCACTTACTCTCATCACCGTTTTGCATCGAATTGCATTGCTTGCTCTCGCCCTTGTTTAGCCCAACGCTACACTAGCAATCTAATCCCCTCCTTCCCAAAGCAGCATAAGAGAGCTTGCACCATCTATATACTAAACTTTTGTTTCTAAAGCACAGAAACTTCAGCTCTAATCTTCGTCCAAAAACTTCAACTTTCCTACTCGTCTCTGTTTGAATCAATCAATACTCTCAATTTAACAAAAACTTCATATCTCATCTTCGTCCATAGTTGAATCAATCAACACTCTCAGTTTAGTGAAAGAAAGTCATAGACCAAGGAAGCATTGTCAAATGCCTCCGAGTCATGTTTCGACGCTCTGTCGAGTCTGTTTCGACTCTCTGTAAAATAGCCATTGTCGTTGTTCTGGCATGTGTTCTGGACTACGAGTTAGTGAACCTGTCTCGAACTGCGAGTTGTTGAATCTGTCTCGGATTCATACCGAGTTTTGTTGGCTCTTTCAAGTGTCATTCTGTGAAGTGTCATTTTGTGCTTATTGTTCAAGCAAGAGTCCACTGCTTCTATTGGTTCTATTGGTGCACGTGAAGATTTAATTATACAACTATTGTTCAAATTCCAGCTGCTTTGTGAAAAAGCATCTTAAGTTTGAGTGAGAGTGTTAGCATGTGTGTGTGTGTGTGTATATATATATATATATATATATATATATATATATATATATATTAATTATATGGATATATATCTCTTGATAAGGTTAAGTGTCAATAGGTATCTCAAGATTAGTTAGTAATTATCAATTATTGTTGGTATCTGTCCAGAATTGTTATTTTCCGTATATTTATATATTATTGATTAATTAATAGTTATAAGTACTGAAGGTAAATGGTCTCTTGTATACAATCCCTTTGTATTTTCCTTCTTCTTCTTTTCTTTTTCTTTCTTCTTTCTTTTTTTTGTTTTTTTCAAAGCCAAATATTGCAATGGGCCTCCCATTGTGTGCCCATAAGACAGCTTTTTGGCTGAGTCGCTGTGTGTGCATTCATAAGACAGCTTTTTGGCTTCCCTACAAATATTTTCTTTTTCCTTTCATTAGCAGGTAGTTGTTCATCCACTGCTCTTTCTCTAAGCACCATTGTTACTCTCTGTGCACATACTTCTGATACAGGCCTTCAGATTACCAAGGTTTACCCCTCTCTCTCTGACTGTGTTGGTTCTCGGATTTGCACATTAATCTGTGAAGGCTTTTAGCTTCGCCTAGAGTTACTTTGCCAACTCCTCCACTGTTCTCTGTCTCTGTTTGTGTTTGTGTTTGTGTACGTGCGCAATTTTGTTGCAGACTCTTAGATTAATGAAGAGTTATTTCTCTCCCTGTTTCGATGTTGGTGTGCTTTTGTTGCAACTCTTAGCTTTGCCTACACTTATTTTTCTCCATTACTCTTACTTCCTCATCTCTCTCTGTTTGTGTGTGTGAACGCGCTTTATTGCCGACACTTAGACCAGAGAAGGGTTAAATTTTGCCTATGTTATACTTGCTTTTTGTTGTGCTCGTATATTTGATTTTCAAGTACGTAATTATTCTGTTGACCAAACTCAAACTTTAAAAAAAAAAATTTTCGAACTTTGTGACACATCCAAGCTATCAAATTTTTCTTCAAATGATCATAAGGAATTGTAACCGCTATCAAAAGTAAAACTATATTCCCTTTATGTTATGTTACTTTTTATAAGCGGGTCAATATCTTATCATATTTTTGGAGCTCACACCTCAGTACCCTACCCTAACGCTTTGTTCGAGGTGGCCCTTTCCTATCCAACAACCAATAGCTGACCTTCACTGGGCCCAACCTACCCTGCAAGCGCAATTGGTTGATGGCAGACTCACAAGAGCCAGAAGTTTGCTTTATGAATGAGTTTTTCAATCAGCACCTAAAGCGGAGTCATGGGCTTCTTCGAGATAAGGATTCAGTCTCGCTTCATCGCTCGCTTGGTCCACAGGTCAGTGAAAAAAAGCGCCCTATCTTTGAAGCGGAGAGTGATCGAATGAAGAGAACGATCGACCAACGGAACAAAAAGAGAATTTGGACTCTCACATCAAAAGACTGCATAAATTGACTAAATGAAGAGAGGGGCTTCACTGCTCGCTCAATGCGCCTCATTTTTATATGCAATTTCGGAAAAACCTTTCTCGGTGACAGATGTGATTGATGAAGCCATCCCAGGAAAAAAAAAAAAGCACGCATCCGTACGGTATAACAAGACCGATGCTATCTAGTGAAATAAAGGGAAGACTTTGCTTGTTCCGTGGTATGGACCACTGAATGGGTTCTGCTGCGTACTTCTTGGGCCGAGCTCGTCTCAACCGGTCATCCCCTTAGAGTGATGAAACTTCGTGGGTGCGTGACTTTACCATCATATCATCTACTTTGTCTTCCATCTCTACATGCCTCATGTCATGGAAGATGGCTGTCATAGCTATCTGGTAGGTTGCCACGGCATTTTTCAATCCGAACAGCTTGATAACAGTAAGTTCCCTATTGCATGATGAAGGAGTGTTTGTGACAAAAACCTACTTAAACTTTTTGCGGGCTTCAAAAAGTGCCCATATGGATCGAAGTCGTCCAATTTGAATCGAGAATCAATGGGAGTAGTATGGTTCCCACCATTTATGATGTACCGAATTGGCAGGTTCTCTTACAGAATCTGACCCCAATGAGTGAGATGATAAAACTTAGAAATCATGAGCATGACGATTTAGTTCAAGTGGTATTGACCCTCTGTTATTTTATGGCATTTGCAGCAATGTGGCCAACCTTAATTTTCTTGTTGTTCCTGATCGAATCCATTTCATGCCACTCAGTTCTGAGGATTCTACCAGTTCAGAAAGAAGCGATCATGGTAGAACACGCCGTTGTAGCAACAGATGATGGTCGATGTTCACGAATTGGTAGCAGAATCCTTCGAAAGGGAGGTCATGCAGTTGCTGCTGCCTTCTGCCTCGGTGTTGTTAGCCCGGCATCGAGTGGCATCGGTGGGGGAGCTTTCATGTTGGTTCGATCTGCAGATGGGCATGTGCAGGGCTATGACATGCGAGAAACTGCTCCCTCTAATGCTTCAAGGGTAAGAGAATGAGGGAATTTACTTTTTTTTTATTTACCAAAAAAACTTGTTTTCTCTCTAACTTTCATTCCATTATTGTATTCTATGTACTTTTAGAATTAACTTAGCAAAACAGGAAAAATTAAAAGAAAAAGAAAAATTAGAGAGAGAAAGACCCTTAGAGCTAAAATAGAATAGTGCTAGAGTGGCTAAATCTTGTGTATTGATTAACTATTTATTTTGCAATTATTGCAAAAACAAATACTCAAATCCCATTCTAATGGCATAAATTACATTTATCGGATATGTTTGCATATGATCCGTCTGCAAAAGAACAGGGTGGACTCTCTGTTGGAGTTCCAGGTGAAATTTTAGGTCTCTATGAGGCTTGGAAGGATTATGGGAGGCTCCCATGGTATATACTTGTGAAACCTGCAATTGCAATAGCAAGATACGGATACGAGATAGATCGTTTTCTATAGTTTCAAATGAAAAATACAGAGGAGGCAATACGTAAAGACGACGGTTTAAGAGAGGTGTTCATGGTGAATGGGACACTGTTGAAGGTTGGAGATATATGTCGTGACATTAAACTTGCGAATACATTGGAGAAGATCGCATTTCACGGGGCATCGGTGTTTACGACGATCCCATAGGGGCTGATTTGATTCAGGATATCAAAGAGAAAGGAGGGATAATCACAGTATTTAAATGGTTATAGGGATAAACATAGGAAGCCAATTTCTGCTAAGGTCATGAATCATGAGATTATTACCATGCCTATGCCTGTGCCTGTGCCTGCTGGAGGTGTTGGGATGATTATGGTGCGTATTTCTTCTCAATTCATCATAACAAACTCTTACACACACTCACTCTCTTATGTTCAATTTATCCATTATTGATTTTTTTGTACATCATCTTTACAGATCTACTCTCACATGGCCCCACATAAAAAATACCAAAGATTAATTTGTGTACATCATCTTTACAAGTCTATTCTCACATGGGCTCACCTAAAAAGCACCAAAGATTATTTTTTGCACATCTTCTTTACAAGTCTGTTCTCACAGGGGCTCACCTAAAAAGTACAAAAGAAAATGTTTATTACAAAATAAGATGACCAAAATACTTGTACAAATAAGCAAAATATCTCTAAATGTAATGGGTTTTCTTAGTAACGTCCTCAATATTTATTGACACTTAAATACACTTGAATTGTAATACAAAATTTTACAAGTAGAATCATTTTTTGTCGTTTAAAAAGATAGAATGGATATTTTTATAAAAAAAAAGTGACATTCTATTAATAGTTAAAAAACAGTTAATGCATCTTGTGGGTGACGTCACACACTATGTTGGTGATGTCATTGTCTACTGTTGTTAATAAATGTTTTTTGTTTTTATTAGGAATTTCTACTTTACTTTTGACTAATTATTTAAGATAACCCTAGATAAAAAGTTACTACACTATATGATAAGGGTATCTAAGCATCCAAAATTGCTTAGGACTTTAAAGGTATACACCACCAAGTGGAATAGTTTAACAAAACCCAAAATTAATACATGTATTTTGGACTTTTTATTAAATCAAAAACACTTTTAATTGTTTTGCATGTGCCACTATGAGAATAGGGATGCCCTTTTATAAAATTTTGAATCAAACAATGCTAGGTATGACAAGCTATACTAGCCATCCAATCAGATCAGACAATTGGTATTTGGAAACATAAATTTATCTATGGATGGAAACTTATAAAAAGCGTGTCCTTGTGATTTCCAAAAAAATACTTATACGCAAATCTTCCCATTTCAAATAAATCCATTTCAATTTTCCTGTATGTCTGTTTACTTTTTGCCAAGTGCATGAGAAGGTGATTAAAAGGTCCAATTTGTGTTGTAGGTTCTGAATATACTTGCTCAATATAGAAGTGCTCAAGCCCTTTGCGGCTCGCTAGACTCGACCGAATGGCTGAAGCAGTGAAGCACATGTTTTCCGCAAGAATGAACCTGGGTCACCCAGACTTTGCGGATATTGAATCTGTTGTCTATAAAATGCTGTCTCGAAGCTTTGCAAGAGAAATAAAGGAGAGAATAAACGATAAAAGAACTTATGATCCTAGCTACTATCTTGATACGTACAAACACTTCTTAAAGCTTTTACATTCCAAAAAAGTATTTGAATTGCATTCAAGCTCATATCGCTCTAGATAGCAACACCACATTGTGATACTTAAGTGTGGGGTTCTTCAATTTTATTTGGCATGAATTTTAACTTACACTCATGTTGTCAAATATTTTCGGATGGGGTGATTTTACTTTGTTTCTTTGTAGGTGAAGACATAGGTGATAATGGGCCAGGCAGCCTAGCCCTAAACAGCCATGTCTAGGTCTGGTGTCCACAGGCCTGGGCCAAGGGTCATGACCCAACCTGACCCAAAACCATTAAGGGATTCGGGCCTGGGCACCCTGAAAGAAGGGCTGAGCATCGGCCATGGCCTCTTAGGGTTGGCCTTTTAGGGTCCAAGGGCCCGACTCAGCCTGGCCGTGCCTTTGCCACCCTTAATCTACATTCGTAAAAGTATGGTATGTGCTTAACATGAAATCATTTGCCTTTGCTTCCTCAATAGGGCATAGAGGGTCATGGCACTGTGGTTCCTATCCAATCTTAGCGCTAGAAATAGAGAGAAAAATCAGAAAATAGATGCTTTGCATGTGACTTAGCAACCTAATAGCTAAAAATAAAAACCTTTTCTATACAATTATTCGCCGTTACATGGTGCACAAACCCTGCCCCCTGTAGGGCTATATCCACCGCCTCAGCAACTAGAAATCACTGTCACAATGAAGATTACAGTTTTGGGTTACAATACATAATACCTATCTCTAAACATTGGTAAAAGACCATCACCGATCTTCCCATCTAAACCCGCTTTCCCGACTGAACAACACCATCGATCAACATCATCTTTCCCATCGCAATACCACTACTGAAAAGATAACCTCGAGAGCAACATAAATATTTTTTCTCTCTAGAAATGGAAGTTAACCAACACAAAACTCATGGGAATACCACTCCTCTCTCAGAGGACATGTCTCTCTCTCTTGGAGACCTATCTCCATATTGGAAATCCATTCCCATTAACCCCAAAGGGGTGACCCTCAAAAGATGGGTATTATATCCTCCTTCACTCTCTTATAAAGATAATGCTTTATTGCTTCCCAAGAACGTCAATTTTCTATTTTCCATAACACCTTAATCTTTAGAAGAAAATATGGGTACGATGATTTAGCTATCATCAAACCCAACAATTTCCGCCTTGATAGCAAAATCACCGTAATTGCATTGACAACCTTCATTGAATAGATTTCTTGATTTCTTCATACTTGCCTCCATTGTAGAATTTTTACAAACATTTTACTCTCATATTTCTCCTCGTCAAACCATGATTTCTTCTCTCTTGCCTCCATTGTAGATTTTTCACAAACACATTGCCTTCATATTTCTCCACCTCAAACCATGTATCCATAACACTTTGTCATTCCTTTTTTTCTTAATATAGACCATAGCCCGTACACACCTTGTACTTTAATATCAATTGTAGCGTTCTCAAAAACCCCTCAGCTTGCGGAATCGAGAATCCCAAACACCCGGATCCCCCCCAAGATCGTGTACTCAATTGGCCAAATACGAAGTAGACGAATACAACTATAAATCGAGTGCGAGAAATAAAGCAAACATAAAAAACACATCACAACAACACACGATTTACGTTGTTCACCCCGTAGGGCTACATCCATGGTCTCGGCAACAAGAAATTCAGTATCACAATAAAGATTACAGTTTTAGGTTACAAGAGATAATACCTATCTCTAAATATCGGTAAAAAACCATCACCGATCTTTCCTTCTAAACCCGCTCTCCCGACCGAGCAATATTGCCGATCAACATCTTTTTTCCCACCACAATACCGCTACTGAAAAGATAACCTCAAGAGCAACATAGAGTTTTTCTCTTTCTAGAAGTGGAAGTTAACCAACCCAAAACTCATGGGAATACTGTCCATCTCTCATATGTCATGTCGCTCTCTCTCTCTCTTGGATACCCATCTCTATATTAGACATCCATTCTCATAACCCCAAAAGGGGTGACCCTAGGGAGTGTTTGATAACAGGAAGTGTCTTCCTAGAAGTTTAGAACTTATTAATATTGTTCAAGTTTCGTCTTTGATAAAAAAATTGAACTTCAAACAAAACTTCAAGGAACTATGCAAGTTCCAATCTTGCTTTAAAAGAAAAAGTTCCAACTCAAGGATTGGAACTTAAACTTTGAACTCTTTTTTTATGAAACCCCCCCCCTCCCACCCCCCAGATATAAAATGTATATATTTTTTATTGTATAATATACAATATAATTTATTGTATAATATATAATATATTTTATTATATATTATATTTTATTTATATAATAGATATTTATAAAATTATATAATAAAAATATATGCAATGTATAATATATTATATTATTTTATATAAATATATAAATATATAAATATATATAT